CCATATAAATTTAAACGAAGACGACGTTCCCAAGGACAAAATTGACTTGAAATATATTGAAGGATACAACTACTGTATTTTCCGGCATATAAGTTTCTCCAGAGTATACGTCACCTCAGTCAAAAAAGCATCATTAAGAGGAAAAATAACATATAAGTTGCTTCAGTGTAGAAGTTGCATTTATTATGCGTCACCGCTGACCCGTCACATTTACCGTGTTTTCTGCCGTAAACGTCACACCGCCCTTTAAGTTGCATCAGCCCAAATATGTCTAATAAAGTGGAAAAATCTATAAATACGTTGCTTTGCCGTATATGTTGCATCTGTTATGCATCACCACTGATGCGTCACGTTTGTTACACATCAACGCTGCCAACCCAGAAATGTGGGCCGAACCCAGAAATGTGAGCCGGTGTTGTGCCAAAAATCGATCGGCTGCCGCATGGCGACCGCGGGAGCGTGCACAGGAGGACTTTAACAAGAATTTAACTAGATTAACACTTAAAAACAATTATTTGTTTGCTCAGAATTATAGCAAAGGTGTGTCTGTTTAACTTTTGTATAATAAATGCACTTTGACTGTTAAATCAGCTGCATTTTCACAAGCCGATATGTGGAAACATGAACGCACAGAGGGTAACTCGCTGTCCATTTCTTTAAAATTTAACAAGAAATCCACTTCAAAACATTTTTTAACTCAACTTTACAGTAAAGGTGTGCCGAGGCAGCGCAGCTAATCGGCTATAATGAAGCTGATTTAACGGTTGCTCCGGGCAGATGATGGTGGCAGGCTATGGTAAGCCGATTGTATCATTAATGGCCACTTTTACCTATTACATGATACAACGGCATGCCATGCTGCTTGAGTGCCATCTAGTGGCTGAAAATGGTAGTGTTCAATATTTTCAATGTTAGAATTAATTGAAACGGTCATATCTCAGCCAAAAATTGGTTTATAAATATGGGAAAAAATCCATAGAAACGTTGCTTAGGCGTATAAGTCGCAGGGCATGCAAATTATGCAAAAAAAAAAAAAAATTGTGACTTATACAGTGAAAAATACGGTATGCACAGCTCAAGTTCTGGCTTCATACAATGCTGGGGATTAGCAGTGTCAGCAACCAGGTTGAATTGATATAATGGTACGTGTGGCATTCCCAGTGTTTCCATGCTGATTGGCATTCTTTTGCCTCGGTGAAAAAGAGCACAGATGACAGAAGACCTTGCAGAATGCATGCCATTGATTCGCCATGTATTGCACAGGTTTTAGGTGGCTGGCCTGATGGATGATTTTGTCAGCCGCTTCTTTTATTGTACTTTGTCAGTGTGGCTGTTGCTGAGTGGTTAGAGCAGTCGCCCTCCAATGCGAGAGTTGGGCGTTCGATTCCACCAGCAGTCACATGCCGAAGTGTCCCTGGGCAAGACACTGAACTCCTCATTGCCTCCGATGTGTGTCCCATTGGTGTATGAATATAACACACTGATTAGTCTTTGTAGAGATCTAGTAGAGTGCTATATGAATGGGTAAATGATGGCACAGATTGTAAAGCTCTTTGAGTATCTTGTTAAGATAAAAAAGGTGCTGTATAAGTACAGTCCATTTACTTTGTTAGCTGGTGTAACCATTAGTTGTTAGCAATTAGTTCTTTATTTTTCAAAAGTGAAAATATTCTTTAAAGACTGATCACTTGTAAGTTCTCTCAATTTTTGGCTTGGATACAGAAATGAATTTTAAGTTTTCTCCATTGCTTTGCTAGGTTTAGCTATAAACCACTTTTAGGCTGCTTTCACACTACTCCAGGTAAAGAGTGCCAGGATTGTGATGGTATTTTTGGAATCTCTGAAATATTGTCCTGCCACTTAGCCTCATATTATCGGGGGACTTTAAAAAAAAAATATATTACGCTTTTACTGCTTTTGTAAGCAAATCAGTTTGACATGATAGTTTTAAAAACATAATGAAAGGAACACAAAGTTTGTTTTCTCATAATGAAAGGAAGATATAAGATTTGTTTATTAACAAGTCACCAAATGGATTTTAGGCTATGCGTTTTGTATGTTAATATCAACTGTAAAGATAGGCTATTATACAGAAGAACAAAACTATTTTTAGAGCAAAATTATTTGGAAAAATATAGAACAAGGCTATTTACACCATCACCATCTGCTCCCTAAACAGGTCTCTCTTGAAAATGAGTTCTCGTGGCTCAGTGAGACTACCTGTATAAATAAAGGGTAAAGGAAAATGAATTTTTTTTTTTTAAATTAAATGTGCTGCTCGCTTCGGCTTTTGTAGATGCTGCTACTTCCTTCACCACAGATGACAGCAGGTGCGAAGACGCGCACGGCCAGTGATCAGCTGATCGATCCATCCATTCATCCATTATCTTTACCCGCTTCTTCCTTTTTGGGTAGCAGGGGTTGCTGGTGCCCATGCCCAGCAGTCACTGTGTGAAAGGTGGGGTACACCCTGGACAGGTCGCAAGTACATTTCAACCGGCGAGTCAGCGGACGCTGACAGGTTGTCCATCTGAGCTTAATGCGACTTTTTTAAACCAGCCGGTCAGACCTGCCTCCTCCTCAACAAGTAGATTAACACAATTTTATATTGTGCATTCTTATTTAGTTTGCTTTATGTTGTATGATTCGTAAAACCGCAGAAGCCTGAGCCCACGTGCACAATTATTGCACAACGCGCCAGCAATCTCTTCCACAGTCTGATTAACTGCACCGCTCTTCTTTCCTTTTTCATCCTCTCATTTTATTTGTGCTGTATGATTCGTAAAACGGCATCAAAGCCCGACACCGGCCCGGCCCGCACATTAATCACATTATAACGGCCCGGCCCAGGGTTGGTCGGGGCTGGGTTTTGGGTTTGGCTTAGAAATGACCGCTGTAGATGTAAGTACTACTGTTTACATTTGTACAGTAGAAGCTAACTCATCCACGGAGTCGAAACCTACAATCACATTTCTCTCCCTGAGTAATCAGCTTTGTAAACTGCAAGAACCAAATATGAGTTTTGTCAGCATATCGGCCGTCACTATTGCAAGTCCCGTAGCATTAATGCTTCTTAGATCCCTTTTATTTTTTTGCTGTTTTTTTTATTGGTGCAAACCACAACAGAAACAAAGTTTTGTTCGCCTGACATCCGATACTTGCCGACGTAACTTATTGCTTAGGGAGCTATTTTTAGTGACACTGACCTGCGCTATTCAGAAACAATGACTCCAGTGGAAGTAAAACATCTACCTGAGCTTCTCTCTTCAGGGCACATCGTACTGTTTTCCCACTTTCTGAACTTTTTGATTCGTATCAACAGACGGGAAAATTCAGTCTAAATTATGGACCAGTCTCATTAAAAATAAACACCAACAACAAAACACTGCTTTACACCACTTCAGAAGCAGAATAGGACACAGTACATCTTTACACGTTTCACTTGGTTTCAGAGTTTTGTTCTTGGCTGCACAATAAGACAGTTTTCGAGTGTGTTCGGTGTTTTGTCCCCCCCCCCCCCCCCCTGATTTCTGAGCGTTTACGACGTGTTCACCCCTCTGTTTTCATTCAGGTAGCTGGGCTATAGATTCCCTGTGAGACAGACACAGAGAGAGACAGTCCTGGACCACAAACCCCCCACCCCCCTACCCACCCTGCTCCCACAAAGACATGCATAGCAAAAACCGTAAGTGTATAAGCTCCTTTCCTCAGTCCCCCCCCAATCGCCTTGTGATTCACTCCATTCTGCATTTCCCACTGTGTGTCCCTGCAGTTTGCACTCACATCCTCTGATCAGATTTGGGTCAAAAAGGAGTTTAGAATTGTTGGCTTTTGATTGAACTTCATTATGATGGAGTTCATCCCACAAGGACACTTCAGATTAGTGCCGGGCATGATGCTAATTAGAGAAAAGTTGCAACAAAATGATTTGGAAATCGTTTTCGTGGAGAAGTTGAGGTTGTTGTTTTTTTGTTTGTTTTTTGTGATACAATAGAAACATCTGATTCCAGGGTAGTAAAAACATCTAAATGTTTGTTTAAGTGACATAAAACCCCTTGTTAAAAAAAAACGGGACATATAAAATGTAAATAAATTTAGCAAATTTCATAAACCCATATTTTAATTTACAGTAGAGCATAGTCAACATGTGAAAAAAAGAAATTATCTTTTTTGGGGGGGTGAAGGTTGACTTGTATGACAGTAACGCATCAAAAAAAGATACAACAGGGACGACAAAAGGCTGTACAAGTTATTGTTATGAATGAAAAGCAGCTGAAAGAGCGCATGGCAACAAATTATGTTCACTCGCAACTGGTCAGTGAATCTTTCAGAAGGTAAGATGGGCAGAGGTTCACTAGTCTACAGAGGCTGTTAAAAATAGTGGGGGAATAAAACTTGAAAAAGATGTTCCTCAGTGGAAAATTTGGAGGCCTTTCGATATCCCATCATCCACAGTTTATAGTGTTATAAGAATTTAAGAATCTGTAGAAATCTCAATCTGTACTGGATGACTGTGAGCTTCAGGCCCTCAGGCATCACTGCACTGAAAACGGGTCTGAGTCTGTTCTGGACATCATTGCGTGGTGTCAGGAACACTTCCACACATTGTAAACAGTTCTCCGTGCCGTCCACAAATGCAGGTTAAACCTCTGTCATTCAAAAAAAGTAACAAGATGTGAACACAACATTCAGTCAACATTTGATTCGTTTGCTGTTGCGTTGTCACTCAGATACGGGTTTATGAGATTTGCAAACCATTGCGTTCTGTTCTTTATTTTTCTTTTCCACCATGTCCCAACTTTTTCAGAATTAAGGTTCATTCAGCATGACACTCAAGTGCTAATTTGTTGCAAATTGGAGAAAAGGATAAAAAAAAATTACCCACTGGCAATGCATGATTATGAGTGTACTAAATTTTAATTAAATGTATTCTGTGCATTTACTGTGCAACATCACGTGAATATTTGTCTCTGTTTTTTTTTTGTCTCGGCCTGTTTCAGAGAAGCGACACAGCTCCCCAATTCCTTCCAGGAGCCCCTTGGTTCCCATGAAGCCCAAAGCACCTGCAGTGGCCCCCGCTGTGGCTCCCAGCCCCGGGGACACTCTGGCATTCAGGGTCCCCAAAGATTACCCTCACTCTCGCTTCAGCAAGGCGCCGCTCGCAGTCTACCCACCAAAGGGGGCACGGAACAAAACATGGTGTGTGCACACTTTGCTTTTTAACACGATTACATACTTACACCCCAGAGTAGTTTTAAAAACAGTCAGAGTCTGATTAAGGCCACATGTTGTGTTTAACGCCTCTGAAATATTAATTTGCACTTGTTTTTCTCCCCCCAGTGTGTCACTACCAGTTGTGAGTCTGGAGAAGATGCCTTGTTTAAACCGAGCAGACTCTGCATCGCATGTTCGCCTCTCCTCCTCATCCTCCAGTCTTTCTTCACACAAGTCCTCCTTCACCCCCCCAGCTTCACAGCCTTCGGGTGAAAAGCTTACCAATGGTCGTGGCAGCAGTGGGCTGCTCACCTCGCGCTCCGTCACGCCTCCATCCTCTTTGGATAGGCGACCCAGTCCAGCTCGCTCTCCGTTGGACAGACGGGCGTCATCGACACCATCTCCCTCCGCACTGGACAGGAAGTCCTCCACGTCACCTTCGCCCTCTCACCGACCTGTAGCTCCGCCGCTGTTGCCGTCACTCTCACCGATGGACAAGAAGCAGCAGAATGGAACTAAGACTCCCTCCAAGTCACACAGGAGACTTTCAGGTCAGACATGTTCATTCAGTAAATGTCATACATGTCAGTGCAACTTTTTTATAGTTCTACGTTCTTTCTTTTACATATCATTTACTGAGGCTTTGCTTAAAATTTCTTATAAGAATCCATGCAAACATTCTTGGCCCTTTTTAAATAAAAGTCCTTTTTTTAGCGCTACAGGACTAAATGTTTGGCTGCTCAATGAACAAAGGGGTTAAATTAAAGTCACAGAAACAGAAATATACCTTTCTATATTTTTATGGCCTTCTCTTATCTTTATGACCTTCGTAACCAAATCAGAAGATGTTAGTTTTTATAGTTTTCCTGTCTGTTTCTTTTGCGAAAATGTGAATAACATGTTTTCTTGTATTATTATTACCATTCTGTCACGTTCATGTCAAACATTTTATGCTAGTAGTTTGTTAGCCTGTTAGCCACGTCATTAAAACAACTGCCAGCCATTCAGTGCCATCTTACTCTGAAATCCAGCTCATTTATTTTATTTTTTAAAACCTTTAGGGTAAGTTGCTGAGAAGAAAAATAGGAAGTGCATTTCTGAACACATCCTAGGTTCTTAGTTACTAAAATAAAGGTTCTAGAAAAATATCGTAAACAATTTGATAATAGGAATTACAAGTAAACGTTTAGCTTTGATAAAACCACATTTACTGATAAAAGAAGATCTGATTATTTTAATCAATGTCAGTGAAATAGCCAACAAAATGGACTAATTTTAGATTTAATTTAACTACATCTTGATTATTTCACAGTAGTATCTTTATTTATTTTTCACAAATATAGAAAGGATGCATATGTAGTTCAGTTTAAATTTGATCAAAGGCGTATAAGCTATAAAAAATTATCCTAATTTTTTTACCCCCAGCATTTACAATATCAATAAAAGTAATCAATTCACAATAATTTATTTGTTTCATAATGAAACAAACAATAGATTTTTATATGCGGTGTTATTTTAATTTGAAGCTCTTAGCACGGGGGTGGTCACTGGCTGGAAAAGGCTCCCCAGCCAAGTGCAAGTGGCCCGCAGGCTGCCAGTGGATGGTCACAGTTGTAGCATGTTTTGCAGCTCTGGACTCGTTCTACGTTGTGAGAGAAGGGGGAGAAATGACTCTTTTATGACTGTAAAGTTTGCAGGTCCCTGCTCTAGTGCTTGGCCTTAGGGAAGTTATGTGATAATAACACATTATTGCAGCTAATTTTAGTTTTTTTTTTTTTTTTTTTTTTTTTACCATCTAATCATTCTCCACCTCCTCCTTCATCTTGTTTATCTCATTTTCGCACTTTGTCGTGTTTTTCTCTCCTCTTTTTTTTCTTGTCTTGCTTTACCGTCCTCAACATTCTCCCTGCCTGTCTTGCTTCCTGTCAGTGTCCTGTGTTTAGCTGTCGTGAACGGTGGGAGTAAAGATGCGAGCGAGTTTGTTTATGTCTCGGCACGTGTTTGTTGCCCCGTTATTCATTAGAGCAAACAGAAAGATTACAGGGATTATAGGACAGGCCAGGATGAGATTACAGCCTCCACGCAGCAACAGTTTAAGATAACCTGCAGACTACAGGGTGTAGTCAGGCTGCTAGTTTTACTTCAAAACAAAGAGTTCAGTTTATATGTTTTTATGACTCCAGTAAGAGTTAATGCATTTCCAAGTGCTACCAAAGCTTCAGAGAGGTTGTATGTGTTTTAGCAACAGAAGTTTTTGTTTTATGCCTGTAAACATCAAACTTCACTTGATGTTTAGTTTTATCATTCGTTTGACAAAAAGTCTTTTCGCTATAAATTTTAGACACACTTGTTGCTAACTGACTCAGCCTTTAGAGTTAAAATTTACATTTCATCATCAACTGAATGATCTGCTAAGATGCCCTTCATTAAGCCAGGAAAGAGTTTACTCAGCTGTCACTCACTTGTGACTCTTGTCAGGCTGCCAATATGTCCTGTCAGGAATGATTTGTCGCAGCATGAAGGACGGTTCAGTTAACGTGGTTGACACTGAAAGCACCATCATTGATCTCACACAGAATAGTAGAAAAGTAAGCCTTAAACCTGAACTGGTCTTTAAGTTACTTGTAGTCATTCAGCGATCTCGCGTTCATCAAATAACATTTGATTATTGATGAAAAGAAAGAAAGAAATGTTCTAATGCTTGATTTTTGTGTCTTAACATTTGTATTTTACAGAGCGAGTGTTTGACCCAGACAAGCATTGTGGAGTGCCAGACCCAGAGACTAAAAGATCCTGCACAAGATCTCTCACCTGCAAGGTAACACAAGTACCTACAAATGTCTGTCATTTTACCTACAGCCACCTTTATTTGTGGGGGTATTGATATTAGACCCACTAGCATCACTGTCTAGACTCCAACCACAGCTACAATCTTGAATTTTCTCTCTGATAAATCTGTATTGCCAATTTCCCCGTTAAAGCTTCGTAGCATTGCTGAAGCATTACAGGTCCTAAATTTCACTTGATGAAGTAATTATAGATGTTTGATGAGGCTACATCATCTTTTAGCTATAATACTCCATTACTGCCCTTTAATTACCTCCACCAAGCTTTACTAATCTGTTCAAACAGACTGGTTATTAAGTAATTATAATACTATCAAGCCAGTGCATTCATGTATGTTTTAGGAGTTGGGATTGGAAAGGCGTTGGAGTTGTTTGTCAAAAAAACATCATGTCTGTACTATAACTGTCAGCTTTTGACATGTGTGATGTAAAATGCCATAAAAACTGCAAAAGAACTATTTTACAGCTGTATTAGGTACTATATGTCAGATGTCTGTGAAATCTAAAAGCAGAAAAACCTGAATTCAGAAAAGGTGTTAAAGGGGTTTTATTGGCATTCTTTTTTGATGAAAGCACACACTTGAGTTGAGCTCCTGTTGTGTTTTTACCTGTTAGGAGCTACAAGGAGTCTCAGGCAGAAACAATTTGTGAGAAGAAGCATCCTTTTTGTTGACAAGGAAAATGTGGCTGTGGAGAAGTGTTGATTCTGTGTGAACTAACATTTTCAGTGGAACTAAATTACATTTGACTGCTTTCTCTCTGCTGCAAACACACACTGTGCACAACTAAGAGTTCCTTGTAGAGAGTGGACCAAAATCTTTTTATGAAACCGTTTGCGTTGCCTACATTTCCTACGCTATGCTAATTAACAGCTGCAGGATACGATGAGCTGCCACCATGCACCCACTTCTGTGTAGATCACAACTTCCACAGAGATGAGTGGTACAAACTTTTAACTGTGCATTCAAATTTATAGGAACCTTTTTAGTATGATTTATTCTAGATGGTAAAAACTTGCTTTTCCTATGCTAAGTAGCTGTTAGCTCGTCACACCCCATGAGAGTTCCTCCCTAGCTATTCAACCAGTGCTCACACTATCTTTTGCCATTAGTAAGTGCGGCTCCACTCGGCTCTCCTCTTCTTGGTTCTTCTCAGGTGTATGTGATTTGCCACTACAGTGGAGGCTGACCTGTTTCCTTGCTCTGTAGGCAGGGTCATAACTGGTCTTTTTGTGTTTGAGCCACTCCGCCCTTTCTTCTTCTTCTTCTTTCGGTTTTTCCCTCTTCATGGGTTGCCACAGCGAGTCATCTTCCTCCACCTCACTCTGTCCTCTGCATCGTCTGTCCTCACTCCAACTACCTCCATATCCTCTCTAACTGCATCCATATATCTCCTCTTTGTCTTTTCCTGGCAGCTGCATTTCTAACATCCTTCTACCAATATACCCAATGTCCCTCCTCTTGACATGTCCAAACCTTCTCAGTCTGGTCTCTCTAACTTTATCTCCCAGTTGTTCAACCTGTGCTGTACCTCTGATTATCTCATTCCTAATCTTATCCATCCTTGTCGCCCTATAATCTGACTTGAATTTCATTGTCTTATTCCGGCACTGCTTATAAGTCCAGGTGTAGCCATGCTGCACCATCTCTCGGTAAATGTGCTCATTCTTGTGGCTCCATCCGTCGACACGAGGAAGTGGAGGTTCAGATTTACAGTTTTTCTGGGCAGGTCATCCAGTGATGTTGCACCACTGGTCAGTCAACGGCTGCTGTCTGGTTATGCCAGAATCGGCCACTCGGAGCAATCTGCTTGGAACCACAAACAAGGTGGTCCCGTAAACTGGGCTGAGTTTGGATACCAGTAGTGAGGGGGTTCTAACTGGTGCTGTGTTGTGTGGATCTGAGGAAAGTTGACAGTGGCAAAGTGCTACAATTGTAGGTACTTTACACAACAGCTATTAAAAATGGAAAGTAAAAACAACAAAGTTCATGCTCAATAATCCAGGTACAAATCCAACAATGTTCAGTCAGGTCATCTGGACGCTTTCTTTTTTTTTTTTGCTGAGACATTTCATCCTTCATCCAGATGACTTCTTCAGTCCAAGGAGCCACAAACAAACTGGAGTCCCACAAACACCAACTCCCATAGTGTGTGTGTGTGTGTGTGTGTGTGTGCGTGCGTGCGTGCGTGCGTGCGGGCGGGCGGGCGGGCGGGCGGGCGGGGGGGCAGTTTGCTGGTGATAAAATGGTTTCTGGGGCCCACCCTCTCTCCTGTCAATTCCTCTAAGGCAGCCATGCCAAAATGGTTCAAAACACCAAAGTTCATGCTCAATAATTGTTTCTGTTCAGTGTCCTGAGATGACTTCTGTTGTGACTTGGCGCTATCTAAATAAACTGAACTGAATTTAAGTGAATTTTAATCCAGGTACAAATTCAAGAATGTTCATTCAGATCTTTTGGATGAAGGACGGAGCGTCTCAGCAAAAAAAAAAGAAACCATCCAGATGACCTGACCTGAACATCGTTTGAGTAAAAACATCTTTGATAGTTAAATTAAAACATACTGTAATGTTTGAGACTTATGCCAAGTTTTCACTTAAAATGTACCAAACTAGTGATGGGTCTGAAGCGACGTAAATGTGTTTTTGGAATTCTCTTTTTAGATGAAAAATAACCCATTGCAAAATGCTTTCTTGAATCCCAAATCAACAAAAATGTGATTCGAGTTATCTTAAGAAAGTTGAAAGCCTTCAAAATAAGATAATAAGAGCCGTGTCACGATCCGAGTATAATGCCCCCACATCCCGTCCATTTCATCGTTTTGGTCTTCTTCGGCTAACAGAATTAAATGTGTATCAAAACGTCTGTTTGATGTTTCAAATTGTAAAAAAACTAATAATAGATTAACTGAGTTCGTTCCAATCATTGTTCCACAACATACTTATGAAACCAGGAATAAACATCTTATCTACACCAAATATAGAAGACTTAAAATCACTAGTCAGACCTTTTCTGGGAGGGGCTCACAGATTGGAATGAGCATGACGAGAGTTTTAAAAAAGTTGAAATTCATCTCCACCTTCAAAAACAATTAAAAACCAAATTGCTCTGTTCATATACTTGAGATCACGTGTAGGATCTGTAACCAATTGATCAGAGGTACATGATCTGTATTATATGCAAAGTTTGTTTGAGGACTGTTGGATGTTGTTATTGTGATGTTATTTTAACATGTTACAAACTGTATGCAATTATTTGTACCCAGGCTCTGTCTAGAAGCTTTAAATAGTTTTTGGAGACCTGATTCACGCACCGTTATCTTGCAGTTATGTATTATGATTATTTTTGTGTGTGTGTGAATAAACTGAATAAACTAAACTGAGCAAACACTATATTAATATAGTATATTAATATAGTGCTTGCTCAAATCACATTTTTTGTTGCTTTGGGATGTTTTTAGGGAACAAACATGTATCTTTTAAATTAGATTATCTCTTGTATAATTTTTTCCCCAAATAGCATTTTGGGGTCTTTTACTATTAACACTGTGGAGAAGAACTTTGAAAAAAGTACCATGACCTCACAGATGGGTTCATGGTAGGGGTGCGATTACATCAGGGATCAGCTCTGAGCCCCCTCTGGTTTGAACTAATTATGGGTGAGTTGACAGTTGAAGTCAAGCAGGAGTTTCCCTGGACTATTATGTTTACAGAGGACACGGATCTTTAGTGAGAGTAGGGAGCAGGTGGATGAGAGCCTGGAGAGATTAAGATATTTCATTGGGGGCTGCCTAATTGGACAGGTTAGAATCTGGTTGAGGCATTTAGAGAAAGTTCAGGCTGAGATGGTTTGGACAAGTGCAGAATGGGACAGTGGATATATTAAACAAAGGATGTAGAGTATGGAGCTGCCAGGGAGGATGAAAATGACAACAGAGGAGGTGCATGGATGCAGTAGAGGATACACAGAGAAGATGCTGGGAGAGGATGAGATGTAAGCAGATGATCTGCTTTGAAGATCTCTAAAGGAAGCAACCAAAATAATATTTTTGTAACAAAAAAGCTAGCTTCAAACAAACACCCTTATCATTAGTCCTGGCAATATGAGATAAATGATTCTTGGCAACACTAGTGCACGATCCTCCAGCCCATCGACTGTACTGTTTTGGTTGCATTATAATTACAGGTGGAGCAGTGGTTCCAGAAACTGTACCCCCGGCCAAGTTGCTTTTACCGTCAGAACCAATTATGCACTGACAAGAAGGTAGATTGAGAGAGAGCAGTGCAACTTTACATCATATGGGTCTTAAATATCACTTCTGATATCCCGAACATGCTTTAACAACATTTATCCTTGAATCTGCACCTATCCACACACTCATTGCACTAATACGTGCAATCGTTATGCATTTCTTCCAGCTTGAGCTTTTTCTGCATCTGACGGCTACGTCACAGAATCAAAATGGAGTCAAATGCTTTTCTCTCACAGCTGATAAAATGTATTAACTGTTTTATTCTGTGTTTCTATGTGTAATATTGTACCAGACTTTCTAGAAGTAGCATTTTTGTTGAGATGTCAAAATGACTTGGTTGGATTTCACTTGGCAACTGGAGCTGTCAGGCAGCTCAAGTGTTTTTGCTGGAATCATCAAACCGTGTGTCTCCTCACTGAAATAAGTGTAGATGAACATGAGAAGTCGAAGCACTCCCACTGCTCTTTTTCTCAGATTTAAATTGTTCACCTGTCACATTCGTATTCAGCAACCAGGAGATGGTCAGGATTTAGATTTATGAACCTTCCAAGTCAGTTTGAAGAGAACTCCGCTTTCAGTATTGCCTTTAAGTCACAGGTGTTCAGGACAAGCAACAGAAAAGGACTAGTTTTAGCAGTTTTCCTGTCATTTCTTTTGCAAATATGTGAATACTGGGACATGTACAAGGAGTAAAACATACTCACTTTAACGTTATGCTTTATTTATATACTTAGTTTTTCCACAGTTAAAAAATATACATAGGTCTGCATAGTTCATAGTTTTTAATTATGAAAAAAAAAAAAAACTACACCCCCCCACTGCCCCCTATAAGAATCTGATCTTTTCATTTGTCTTAAATTGTAAAAAATATAAATTATTAGATATTTTTATCTTTATAATGTCACCCCTACTGGTCACAAAAGCCCTCTCGAACAAACCTCAAGTGGCCCATGGGCCACCAGTTGATAATCAAACTTTAATTCCTATTTTTTCTGGATGTAAATCACTTTTTTTTGGAAGATTATTTACTTTGGTGTCGATTTTGTGCCGCTGGAAGGATTTTTACTGAAACCTTTTTGCTTTTGGGCATTTGTTATGATACGTAACCATGGCAACAAGGTGGGTTTTTTTTTTTTTACAACCAGGAGCAGCTGATTAACATCGCAAAAGCTCAAATACCTCAACTACAGACCCAAGTCCCAAATGAGTTGAAAAGGAGGCGCCGTGGACAAATTCCCGTCAACCTGGCGGTGGTGTTTAAGTGCCTGGCCACCGAGGTCCTGGAGTTAGTGGGAAGCTCGGCTTGTGACGGCGGGAGGACCGGGGTCATCTCCCGGCACCTTTATCTGTCTGTCCGTGGCAACGAGAAGCTCTGCAGACTGCTGGGAGGAGTGACCATCACTCAGAGAGGAATTCTGCTCGGCATTCAGGCAGTCCTGCTGCCCTGGAGGACCGAGAGTCCCGCCGGATCAGACAGCAAGCTGGATCTCTATGGACGGATCGATATCTGTGGCCAGATTCACTGCAGGAGATCCTTCCTGTCCACAGCTATCAGCATCTAACAACTCTTGAATGAAACCAGGATGATGAGCTATGACAACACTTAATTTCCCTTTAGGATTACTAAAGTATTTTTGAATTGAATTGAATTGTAGCAGGTTGTTGCGGCTCTGAACACTTTTAATTTAGTGAATGAAGGTGAATCTCTTTTGATCGTAAAGGTTGCAGACCCCTGATCTACATGAAAGGACTCTTGGGCCAGAAAATTTTGAATTTAAGATTTTTTTTTTTAAACTTGAATAATACTTTGGAGAAAGGTTAAAAGTTTATTTTAAATTCTTGTAGATCCAGAACATTAGGAGCCTCATAAGTATTAATCTTGCTTTTTTTGTTTTGTTTTGTTTTTAAGAATTTAATCTATTAGACTTTTTTTGGGGCAAATCTTTGTTTTCTTGTGCTTTGAAGTTCATTTTTGTTTATTTTCAGCAGCAAAAGCCTAACATGAGTAACTGTTCTTTTAAAAAGGGGGTGGAACTTCAGTCCCCCATTTGGACCATGGACGGCCCAAAAGGGTCATTGAAGTTCTGAAAACCAGCTGGCAGTCGCTAAAACAGATTCATCGAAGGTTTGAAGGGACACTGATAAAGTTGATCAGCTTGTATGCTGATGATATCACTTTATATTATTTTAAAAATATCTGCTTGATCCCCATAGTTTATTAAATCAACTGAATTATTTTCTTTGAAAACACTTGTTGTATGTAGCCAAGTTTTATGAATTATTATCCAAAATTTTATTTTTTAGTAGAAGTCAGTTAAGGTTTGTTGTAGGACAAAGGGATTAAGTATAGCTCTTTTTTTTTTTAAATTGTAATTAATTTCACTCATTTTGAGGCGATTATTTTTCATCTGTTTTGTTGTTAAACCTAAAAATTATATTTAAAAAGCATCACCGTTAAATCTAAAGAAGGTCTACATCTGCATCAACCTCTTAAGCCTGTGGGTCTAAATTATAACATTCTTTAATTGCAGTTGTGGGCCACACAAAATCACTCCAAGGGCCTCAAATGGCCCTCGGGCCGCACATTGGACGCCCTTGCTTTAAGTAAATATTGGAAACATTGCACCCAGTGAAAGCAATGCTACCAGTTAATACCAGTTCTTCAGCATCATCTCTTAACTCTGTAAATAAAGTTGGGAAATCAAATGTTTGAGGGTTGGTTACCCTCCAAAGTACCTGGAAGGATTTACACGCTGACTGGGCTCAGGTGCTATTTACTATGTTAGCGGGAGCAGTGACTGTGGAAATGAAACTAATCAACCTTGACTCTAGCCTTTGTGAGTGCTCCATTTATGCTTGCTGAAAATGTTTGTGCTAAACATATATTTTATTTTGCTTCAGACTCATTCTTTAACCCAACGCCGAGCTGTCCCTGGACGATCAAAACATTTTGACGTCCTCCTGGCTGAACACAAGGGCCTGGCCAAGGAGAAGGAAGCCTTGAAAGAGAAGGAGAAAGAAAAAGATGGAGCCCAGAGAGGAAAGGAAACTTGTATCGCAACTCCAGATACAACGAGCCCCATCAAGTCTCACTGCCCCAGTGAGCGTCCACTGTCCTTACTGAAGCTGCGGCTCGCTAATTCACACATACTGAGGTAGGACCGGGTCGATTTGATTTGATTTATTTATTGATTTATTTGATTTGACTGTTATTTATTGTTTATTTTTACAATATTAGGAGTTAATTGATGCAGTTTAACAAACATTGAGCTGGTGCTTTCAGAATGCAGCTGGAATAGTTCATAGTTTTTCCAAATATTTGCTTTTTTTTTTTTTTGGCATGGTCAGTACTGTAGCTGTTTTTGATCTTTATAACTACATTTATAAGGTTTGTTTTAGCTTCTTTAGAGTGTTTTCTTGGATGGGGGACTACTAAGTGACGTAAGGGGATGATAACTGATTCAGACAGAAGCATGTGTTTATTGGGTGAACAAGTTTAAAGCTCTTCCAGTTCACGCACTGTGTCTGCATTATTTACATCACTGGTAAGATGAAAAACAGCCTCAAGAAATGGATGGATGGTAACTTGAGCACAAAATATGCCCGTGTGTAGCAGCCAAAACACACCGGACCGCCGTTCTTCCATTCCAGCTGCAGCTCGTGACCATTTTATTCACACGTTAAAGGCACTTCACTAAAATAGAAGATATTTACTTGTTGCAATTTTCTCTTCTCTCTTGTGCTCTTTTTCAAAAATGTGCAGCGCAATATTGATTTTGTTTTGGATGAGTACTGTATTTTTCCAGTGTATAAGTCACTCCGGAGTATAAATTGCATCAGTCGAAAAAAACGTGTCGTTTTGGCGTATAAGTCGCAGGACTGACAAATCTATGCAAAAAACTGTGACTTGTACGCCGGAAAATACGGTACTTGCCTCAAAGCTCTACTTTTTCATACACTTTATTTCACATTATCTAACGCTGCTGTAATCATTAATCCAAAGACAAAGGTCAAACACATACAGTAGCTACCAACTACCGTCTTCATTTTTGTTGTTGATGATGGTGAATGTCGCATGCAGTGACATGGCTAAACAAACTGTCGACCAACTTTTACACAATCGCAGGAAGTAAGAAAGCAAACATTAGGTTCTTATAACACCCCCATAGTGGAGCCAGCAGTCTTTACAACCCTCAGAAAATCCTTAAAACTGATTGGTTTAAAAACACGTTATGACATTCTGTTAGTGATTCCCTCAGCTGAGGTTTCAGTCAAACCAAGCTTCGATTAAACAATATACGAGAATGATATGCAACATAAATTATGGATATGCAATTGATGCACATTTACTGCATATTAAGAGAATGAGAGGCTGAGATCTGTTATGCTTCGTTACTATGATCAGTCCTAAAATGTGCTCAAACCTTTCTATAGTAGACCGCCTGTTGCAAATTTAGCACCATTTACTTAAATCTGAATGAGTCTGTCAAATAAATGCATTGTAAAGGAATAAGTACACATCAACATGACAGATAAGTATTTGCATCTGTGCAGCTTTACAAAACATTGCAATGATAACGGCTGATCTCACCCATGTTTCTGCGATGGGAAATTAAGCAGGGATAATCTGACCGGAGCGGAAACATGAATAGTTACATTCATCTTGTTTTTCCATATGTTCCCACCAGGGGGTGCTATAAAACACAGACTGCTCTGAGTATGATGAGAAACTCGTTTCCTACTTCTGTTTGAAAGAGGAGTCTGGTAAAAAAATAATAAAAAGGACTTTGTTTGGGGCGTAACTGCAGTCAGAATGTGGAGCAAATTAAGTAAATGATTGGGAAGTTGCTACGATAAAAGTTTGTTTTAATTGCCCTACAGTCTTGATTTATTCTACATACGGTAATCTGTCTCTGCTTTCTTTAATCCCCCTTTTCTTCTACATTTTGTCCACCCCAGAGTTCCAGGTAGCTCCTCCTCCACTTCAACTTCCAGTCCTCTGCCCCCAGCAGCACCTCCTGCCCCAGCTCCTCACCCGGAGACGTCCCCTCACAGCTGGCTGTCCACAGCCGGAGACAGCAGTCGACTTTCCAGTGACGAGGGAGATGCAGAGACTCCAGAGGACACGGAAAGACCAGCCTTTCACTGCTCCAACCATCATCCACGGCCTTTAGGGGCGAGTATCACATCTACTAATGCAGACCTTTATTTACACAGCTTTTACCCCAAACTGTTTTACACCGCACCACCTGCTAGTATATCCCATTTAGGTTTGTTGTTGTAGTGATTAATACTAAATAAAATTTATGTTTTACTTATTATTACAAATAAAATTAAAGAAATTCAAGAATTAATACATTTTGGTGACTCAGCAGGTATGTGATACCCTGAACGTTTAAAAAAAAATACATTTCTTCTTTATTTAGATGCAAAGTTTTGTATCTGTTAATGTTATTTATTTAAACACTAGATCAGCTTCACACAAAAATTATTTAAATGTGTAAATATGTCACACTTGCATACAAACATTGTACTTTTTCTATTATTTAAGTATTTACAATGTAAAGTTTATTGTTTATAAGTATTGAGAAATTCCTTTGATACGATTAGCCAAAAGTAAATTTTTCAAAAAGGTAATTAAAATTATATTTCTTAAACCAGGAATATTTGTTTTACTTTTATGGAGCTTTAGCTCCTTTAATTGAATGCCTTTCAACGCTGTAATTTCCTCCACTTTCCTGTGTAATTTAGCCACTCTTTCTCACTCTGCTTGTGTTATTACCTTTTTTCTCCCCTCTAAAATGATCTCAACTTGCTCCTCTTGTATTTCCCTGCAGGCTTGCGTCTTCAGCAGCAGGCTGATGGGACGGGGATACTATGTGTTTGACAGGCGATGGGACAGGATGAGGCTGGCGCTCCAGAGCATGGTGGAGAAACACCTGAACGCACAGATGTGGAGGCGAGCCTCTTTCATTAGAGCTTCAAGTCAACAGGAATTCACGACTAAAGTTTTCTAAGAGTTGAAAGTGTTAAAGGTGGTTGTTCTGTGTGTTTCAGGAAGGTGCCCCTGGCTGCTGAGAGCCTCTGCTCCCCCTCACTGCCTGGTACCTCCTCAGTTTCCTCACAGCAGGCTCCGTCTCCAACAACCCTGACCACCTCTGTTTTCAGCTCCCCGTCCAGCACCCTCACCTACACCGCCGCGTTCCCTCAGTCTGCATCCATGTCCGGGGCGTTCAACGTCAGAGGCTCCCCGCAACCCCGCCCCCAGCCGCTCGCATCAAAAGCTCGTAACGGCTTGCACAAAGCCGGCCGCTCGTCCAAAGACATGGAGGACCTCGCTCTGGGACCTAAGAAGAGAAAGAACTCTTCCTCCTCCTTCTCGTCTTCTTCCTTGTTTCAGACTGTGGATCATCACAAGAGGAACGGCAGCAGCTTTCACCCAACGTTACAAGGCTTAGGGGTGACTGCCGTCCCCCCAGGCAGGAAAAAGGGACCCGGTCACGGCAACAGCGGACTTTTGAGCTGCTCAGACAACTGGCTGTCCAGAGTGGACGGGTCTCAAAGCCACAGCTCACAGAACTGGTAGAAAACTTATTGACAAGTTCACAATCTTAACGGTTTAAAATATAAAGTTGAAGAGAGTTTATGCTGAGTCAGCATTCACACTATTTTTGTCTAATTTAGAGTCTTTATTGACTTAACAAGACAAATTGAAGTTGAAGGCAAATTTACTGTTGTCTTTTTATAACCTTATTACCTTTCTTCTTTTTGAAGTCGCGAGCTTGGCACCAGCAGCTACGCCCCCAGAGAACCTGCCTCTGCCCTACATCAGACGAGGGCTCCCCCCACAGTACCCTTAGCTTATGGGGGAGGTGCAGAGGGGAGGAAGAGGAGGAGCCCCAGCTCCTACAAAGGGAAGGCCAGTAAGCTTAGCCGGCCATCTGGGTTGGAGAGCCTGTTTGGGAAGGGGAACGACAGCGGGGGGATCCTGGCTTCAGGGCCTGAGTCTCCGAGACAGGTAGCTTTGTTATTATCTCACTAAGAGATTCATATCTTTCTGTTCTCACCCAGATCAAACAAGAGATATGACGCACACAAGCTTCATTTTCATCATTTATCTTGAGATAAACCGTTTAAGACACTGCATGAATGATGGGGGGTGATATGCATTCCTTCCAGGGATGCTAGGCTTTTTAACTTGATCGTGTTGTTGTTTGATCAACTGTCATCTGAATCACGGCAAAGAAATGAAACCCAGTTAACGAGCGCGTGTTCTGTCGCCGCAGGCCAAGTTCCACCACTGACAGGAACCCGCTTCATAGACTGAATGCTGGACATCTGCACAAGCTTCCACCGTTTGTGACCTTTGACCTCACCACTCTTCCAGCGACAGCGCCAATCAGACTGCTACATGTCGCCGACGTCACCGCCGTTCCAACGACACTCGAGTCCACTCAGTGGGACGCCGTCGGGGCGCTGGAGTCTTTGCCTGCGGTCGGTTCCTTTCACTGCCTCTCCTTGGGTTTGATGTTTCTGTTGGAAAGCTGCTCTGTTCCTCTGGTTTTCCCAGAACAAGATAAAAATAAACTATTCTCTCAAAAGGGAATTTGCCTCAAGTGTATTAGGCATCGTTGACAACACCACCACTGAAAGGTGTGCTCGAATGAAAGACGAGATTGAAGGTTACGGACCTTCTGAGACGACTACTGTGGGATTTTAGCAACTTTTTTCTCCTGTTTAAAAAGGGGGAGCGTTAACAGCAAGTCAGCTGGGTTTTATCCAGTTTCCCCCCTTCTTTTAGCCTCTTTTTATTGTTTCTTTGTGTACAAAACAGCTTAATTTCTCTATCATCTCCTTTATACCCAATTTGTGTCCCAGCATGCCTGTGTTCAAAGTGCACTTACTGCCCTGTGTTCCTCTCGCTTCCTCTGCTGGCTCCACGGCCGTCTACATCAACGTTACGCAAAAACAAAGACCTGCTTGGGAAGAAGAAACTGCTCGTGTTACCAATGATGCCACCTTGTATTTCAATATAGGATGAAGTCTGACTACATGGATTTTTTTTTTTCTTTTTAAACATAAAGTCCAGGACTTGCATCCAAAATGAAATTATTATTACTATGGTGTTGGATTATTTTTATTTTTTGTATAATAATTTATCATTCGTAAATAATGTTTATCTAAGTGACCATTAGGGTTTGAGCTACAGACTTTTTCAGCAAAAAAAAAAGGAATTTTTATGGCATTTTGAAGAAATGTTGAAAGTATTATTGTAGTTCATATTTGTACATATCTGTTATTTTTATATTTATTGATAATGTCCCCCTTTTACTAAATATGAGGTAAAAAGGGGCTTTTTTTTCTCTATTTACTTGGAGTATGTTTAACAATAATGATCAGATTTGCCTGGTTTCTCAAAAAAAAAAAATGTGTAGCAAATTAATGACAACAGCTGCACAAAGTCAAGTATGAGTGTTTGGCAGCTGTTGCTGTTTGCGAAGAATTTACCTGTGTTCAGTTCTGTTTCATGAAATAATCTGTGAAGAAGTATGTTGTAGGGTTAAATGGTTGGATACATATATTGATCTTCGGCCTTTAGAGTCCATCCATGATAGTGTTTTTTAAGTAATATGATATTTTCCACTTTATTTTAGCTTATTTATATTTTCCTTTTTAAGATTTTTGACCTGTAAATAAATTTAATTCAAAATGCGCTGTCAAAACACCCTGAAAGCGAGTTCAACTCGTTTAATTTCAGCAGCAACGCCTCAAACTTTTTTGGGATTTAACTCGCTCCGTGATGCGTCACAGCTCCTTTTTCAGAATAAAATGTCACAGACTGCCTGAATAAAACTCACGTACTTGTTTCATGTGTTCCACCAATTTTAGCTCACGTCTGTGTCCCGTGAAACTCAGCGGATGGAGACTTTTGTCCAGAACAGTGACGTTTGCGTTGCGCTGCTGCTAGTCAGGAAAATAAATTGTTTCCAAACGTTATCCTGCAGGTTCCAGCTTTCATAAACCCCACGTCTGAAGTTAGCCGCACGTTTTCTCAGCGTGATAAAGCTGTATGCTCCAATGTGCAATAAATATAATTCTGGATCATTTCAGCTAGCTCATTCATTCACTTAGACCCGTCTAAAGCTTTTGACACTGTGGATCATGACATCTTGTGTCATAAGCTTTCAGAAATTGGTTTCTCAGGTCATACCATTAGTTGTTTCTCAGATCAAAGGCAATGTGTTAGACAGAATGGTACTTCTTCCAGTTATTTAACAGTCAACAATGGTGTACCACAAGGCTCAGTCTTAGGACCCACCCTCTTTACAATCTACATAGATATTGTAGGTCAGTGCATCCCTGATGCATCCTTACATTTCTATGCTGATGACACGGTTGTTTATTGTCGAGCTAAAACGGTTGCTTCTGTTTTCCAGCTTTTGCAATCTGCATTCGACATCATCCAGTCTGATTAGTTCCCTCTCAAACTTGTCCTAAATGCCGACAAAACCAAAGGGATGCTGTTTTCAAAGAGTAAGTCTGTCCCCACAGTTCTTCCTCTGATTTTATCCTTTAATGTTGTCCCTATTGAATTTGTCGAGTCCTACAAATATTTGGATATCTTGGTCGATTCGCATCTCTCTGTTAAGCTCCGCATGGAAAACTTGGTAAAGAAACTGAAAGTTAAACTGGGTTTCTTTTTCAGGAACAGATCCTGTCTAACTCTGAATGCTAGGAAACACCTTGCGACTGCGACTTCCCTCTATCGACTACGGTGACATTTACATGAACGCTCCTGCAAGTACCCTGCAGATGCTGGACACTGTCTACCACAGTGCGCTAAGATTCATAACTGGCTGTGATTATCGTACCCACCACTGCACCTTGTATTCACTGGTTAACGACATCATTAACTTCACCAAGACACTCTCACTGTTACATTTTCATCTTTAAATCACTTCTTGGTCTGCTGCCTTCATACATCTCCTATATGTCTCTGCGTGAGTGCAGCTACAGCGTGCGCTCTCAGGACATTATTACATGTAGTGTTCCCTCAGTCAGGACTGAACTTGGCAAAAGGGCCTTCTCTGCTCCTGTTTCCTGGAATATCTTGTAAAAAAGATTTGACACTCTTGATCTTGACCTCTCTAAGTAGCTTCAAACATCTGTTAAGTTCCTGGCAAAACCAATGCGGACATGTTCCTGTTTTTAGTTTTTTACACCGCCTTACAACCTAGCTGTTTTATTTACATCTTCTTTTAAATACAGTTTTATTTTCACTTGTTCTCAATTCGTATGCATCCTTTATGATTGTCTTTTGTTGTCCACTGCTGTCATCACTCTGTTTAAAAAAATCAGGCCTCTCTTGTAAATGAGTCCCCGAGGCTCATTGGGATTAACTTGTATAAATAAAGGTTGAATGAGAATTCAACCTTTGTACAGGTTAGTCTCATTGAGTCACGACTCATTTACAAGAGAGACAACTTCTATTTATTCTTCTTTATTTATTCTTCTTCAAGAGATTTCTTTACCAAGCTTTCTTAAAAGGGAGATGTGTATCGACCAAAATTCTCAAGTATTTGTAGGAATCGACAAACTCAGTAGGAACACCATTCGTCCATATGATAGAAGGAAGGACTGCTGGTACCGACTTCCTGTTTGAAAACAACAACCCTTTGGTTTTTGTCAGCATTTAGCACCAGTTTGAGACGGAACAAGTCTGGATGTCAAAGCAGACTGTAAAAGCTGGAAAACCTTGGCAACTGATTTAGCTCGACAATAAACAATTGTCGTCGAGATGGAAATGTAAGGATGCATCAGGAATGATCTAACCTTACACAAATTGGGAAGAGGATGGGACCTAAGACTGAGCCTTGTTGTACACCATTATTGACAGTTAAATAGCTGGAAGATGTACCATTATGTTGAAAACATTGCCTTTGGTCTCATGCTACAGATTATGAATGCTGTACAAAAAGCAAAATTTTAAAGTGCTCCTCTGCTCCCATGTTCACTAAAGTTTCATTCAGACGTTGACAGAACCTCACTGCCTCGTTTGTCACATGTAAAACCATCCCCCAGCCCTGCCGTCTGCACAGATAATGGTCCAGTGTGTTTTTTAAACTCTGCCAATGGGTACTCAATAACCAGTGTTGTGGATCTCGTTTGCTAACTAACAAAAGATGCTTTTTGTGAAACCAGGCTCGTTTGAATTTTATATTATTTTAAAGGGCCCAAAGCTGCTTTTGGTTCCACACTTGATTTTTATGTCTTTTAACATCCAGGGCCAATGGGTCGAGTCTCAGTGTGATTATGTGGGTCGTGGTTTGCAAATTCAAAACTGGGTCAAAACGCTTTCACGTACTTATCCAGGTACCATTGTGTTCACCACCGCAGCGTTCTCGTTTCTCCTTTTGAGTTTTTAAGACGATGCAAACTGGTGGGCAAATCTAACAAAGTCTTCAGTTTGAAGGAAATACTCCTGATTAATGTGCATTTTATTTTCTGAACTGGTTCACAACAAATGCATTGTGACCAAAAGAAACAGTTGTGTAGCTTAAAGTGCCGTGGTCGGTTCCTCAGTTTGTACGACCTGCACCCCGCCCACCCATGTCCACTCACTGATAACGCTGGAGTAACTGAAAGCATCTGATTTTCCTCACAGCTCCAACTCGGTACAACGTTTCAGTGTCACTAACGATGAATGAATGAATTGTACAGAATCAGGTATATTTGTGTTAATTTACTCCAAAATGCTTCCCGTGGTGACACTTTATCCCTCGGTATGTGAGGTCGGATTGATTTTTTATGCTGGGCGCCTTTTGTTTTATTTGGGTACTAGCTGTGTACAGGTAACTAACAAGATTAGTGTCTTTTTCACAGTTTTACCACGTATACTAAAGTGAACTAATGTTTAAATTCTGGGATACATTTTTTTTTAAAATCAAAACTCATTTTAATACGGCTCAATTTTGGTGTTAAATTCTAGGAATTTTAGCTATTTCTGTTTGATTTTCATTTTCCAACTTTGTCATATTGTCCTGATCTTAAAGCAGTTTTAATTATATGATAATATAAGATTCTATAGTCGAGTGTTTCCTGTCAGCCAGCGCATTGTTCTCACTTTTCTGATTCAAATTCTGGTAAATGTTGAATGTGTGAAGAAATGCTCTGCAGGATTTTTGCTGGTTTATTCGGACTTTGTGCTGCTGGATATTTTAAAATGCTTTTCCCTTCAGAAACGGGGTCCTACACGCTGTAAACGTCATGGTTTTATACCCAAGTTTTATTAAAAGGTTTAAAGTGCGGCAGTGTTGTTTTCTAACTCTAATGCAGCTTTTCAAGTTAAGAAAAACTGTTGTCGATGATGAATGTTTTTTATATATAATACTTGTTAATGTTGCATGTATTTGTTGAATGTCTTCCTGTTCAAGCAACTTATGACCTTGTTTTGTCTAATGTAAAAAAAAAAGTATCACTGGACAAAGAACAAACTAAAAATATCCTGTTTTGTCCAGTGTCTCACAAGGAAGCTTATGTTCATATATATATATATATATATATATA